AGGAGTAGGAGGAGAGGAGGAGGAGAGCGCAGGAGGACGGAAGTGAGGAGGAAGGAGAGGTGGAGGAGGAGGAGAGGAGGAGGAGGAGGAGGAGAGGGAGGAGGAGAGGAAGGGAGGAGGGGGAAGGAGGTGGGAGATCAGCATCCCATGCAGGCCCACGCGTCTACAGTGTCAGCGTCAGGAGGAGGAGGAGGAGGAGGAAGAGGAGGAGGAGGAGGAGGAGGAGGAGGAGGAGGATGTTGCTGTTGAGGAGGAGGAGGAAGAGGAGGAGGGGGAGGAGGAGGAGGAGGAGGAGGAGGAGGAGGAGGAGGAGGAGGAGGAGGAGGGGGCGACGGAGGATCGACGGGAGCGCCATTTCGGGGATCCATCCCTCGCGCTCGCCCGCGCGCGCCGAGCGCCCGGCGGGCCGGCCTCAGCCACCCAAGAGCGGCCGCTGTCAGAGGGAGCCGCAAGGACGATTACAACTTCAACCACTAGCTTCAGGAGGGGAAAAAAAACAGACACAACTAATCGTCGACTCCCAGGAAAATATTGGAAAATATGGGAATTGGGCGGGAAGACAAAAACCAGAACTTATGGGAAAATGTGGGGAATCATTTTATTTGTGTGTATTTACTTGTGTGTCCTGGGCCCCTTCATAGTTGTTGAGCTACAGTGTCCAAGACTTACGGACTATCGTGGAGACGAGCCGGCAAGGATGCCGAGACCATGGGCGCGAACTGACACGGCCAACAAAAACGAGTGTGGCAGAACGTCTGGCATGGGATACAGCTTCGACCCGAGGGCACCGTCATCCTTGCCACGACCGCCCTCGCGAGAGCGTCCGAGCACGAGTTGTTTCACAGGCAGCCCTGGTGCGAGAACGAGCTGCGTAACAGGCAGCCCAAGTGCCAGAACGAGCTGCGCAACAGGCAGCCCAAGGACGACCACCCCCATTACAACACCAAATGCGCCACCAAGACCGACACTAGGAACGACACGACCGACCAGACCGAAGGGGTGACTAAGAACGTCGTCGCGGAGGAGGCGGTGGACATCGGCCGCGCCGCCGACGGCGAGCACGACTACGGCCGCGCCGCCTACGAACGGCACGACGACGGCAGCTTCTTCGATAGCGACCTGCGTTCGTATGACGCCCAGGACTATTTCAGTTTCCAGAACATGGAGCCCTCCGACTTGGCAGCCGACGACTCCGACTCGGACCTCGGAGACTACGAAGGAACGGGCCATCTGGGCTAGTCCGGCCACCAGCAGAGCTACCAGGACCACCAGACGACCTCCGGAGACCACGGGCTGAACCACGAGGACCACACGCGAAGCTACAAAAGCCACTTGATTAGCTTCAAGCTCCACGCGTCGAGCTACGGGACCCGCAAGCAGAGCCACGACAGCCACAAGCTGAGCTACGAGGACCGCGAGCTGAACTACGAGAGTCCCGGCTACGAGCGCCACCAGCTGAACCACGAGAGATACAAGTTGCGCTACGAAAGCCACAACTTGAACTACGAGAGCTACAACCAGCGCTACAAGAGCCACAACCCCTACAGGGCCCACTTGGCTCTCTGCGAGAGCCACCTGCCGAGTCACGAGAGACACGAATTGAGCAACGAAGGCCGAAATCGGAGCCACGAAATCCATGTGCAGGACCACGACAATTACCAGAGGAACCACGAGGATTGCCTGCTGCGCTACAAGGGCCAAGATCTGAGCTACCAGAGGCACCAGTTGTGCTACGAGGGCAATATGCAGGGCCACTCCAGCCACCAGCAGCGCGACTAGGGCCACCAGCGGACCTTCTAAGACCACAAGCTCAGCTACGAGGACCACAGGCACAGGTATCACAACCAGCCAAAGAGCTACTAGACCTCCGAGGAGCACAAGCTGAGTCACGAGGACCACAGGCAGATCTACGAGAGCCACCAAAAAAGATACGAGGACCACGAGATGAGCAACGAAGACCACAGGTAGAGCTACGAGAAACAGAAGCTGAGCTACTGGAGGGCACCCACGTACGTCTCGTGGGTGCGAAAGCAATGCCGGCCCCCAACGGCCAAATGGGGGTCTTGGGCCCATTTGACGCACAGGCCGAGCGATGGGCATACCGATGTGGAACAACCCAGATTCACGTCAGGGCAGACAGCGTGGATATCAACGGCAAACATTGCAAGGAAAGGCTCGGCAAGATGTGCCAATATTGAGCCCAAGCTTTCCAGTATTACAACATGCTGCAAAACGATTACGTTCTCAAGCGGCTGTACGATGCCGCTCCTACGGAGGGCCAGCCTGGGGCTACCCAGTTCTTCCCCGACGTGCTCCAGAGCGAAACTTTGATCGATGCGCTGCTACCCCAGATGGCGTAAGAACTACGGCGGATGCCGCCGATTATGGTACTTCGGCGGACGCACGGTGTCTACAGCAATTCGGACAAGGCACGCCGTTGACACAATTACGTGTAAGGTACGCCGTCCTCGGTTCGAACTACGACATATTTTGAGTGGCCCGGCCGCCCCCTCCAACCTCCCCTCCTCTTCCTCGCTGGGCCTCAGTATGACTTGAGCAGGAGAGTGGGTTGCGGTTGTCTTCCTCCTCCCCCTTTCGCCCTTTCGGAACGGGTTGGGCCTGCCCTAGCCCCAGCCGCGATGCGCGTCGAGCGCGGGACGGCGTACACAAGGAAACGCAGAGGCGGCTGCGAGAGAAAAAGGGAAACAGAGCGAGAGAGAGAGAGAGAGAGAAAAAGAAAAAAAAAAAAAAATCCTGGCGAAGGACCCAACCATATGCAATTGTGAATACTGCAATTGTGAATATCTTCTCGGTGGAGTCCCCTACGGGGCCACGAAACGTACGAGGGGTGTGCCGAAATCGGTGTGCGGGACGCATGCGGGCACACCCACTGGGGCCTTCGGTGGAGCTCCCTAGGGGGCCACGAAACGTGTGAGGGGTGTGCCGAAATTGGTGTGCGGGACGTATGCGGGCACACCCACTGGGACCTTCGGCGGAGCTCCCTATGGGGCCACGGAACGCGTGAGGGGCGTGCCGAAATGGGTGTGGCTGACGCATGCGGGCGCGGGCACTGGGGCCTTCGGCGGAGCTCCCTATGGAGCCACGAAACGTGTGAGGGGTGTGCCGAAATGGGTGTGGGTGACGCATGCGGGCGCGGGCACTGGGGCCTTCGGTGGAGCTCCCTATGGAGCCACGAAACGTGTGAGGGGTGTGCCGAAATGGGCGTGGCTGACGCATAACCATGCGGGCGTCGGGCACTGGGGGCGCTTCGGTGGAGCTCCCTATGGGGCCACGAAACGTGTGAGGGATGTGCCGAAATGGGTGTGGTGGACGCATGCGGGCGGTGGAGCTGGGGCCTTCGGTGGAGCTCCCTATGGGGCCACGAAACGTGTGAGGGGTGTGCCGAAATGGGTGTGGGTGACGCATGCGGGCGGCAGCTCTGGGGCCTTCGGCGGAGCTTCTACTATGGGGCCACGAAACGTGTGAGGGGTGTGCCGAATTGTGTGTGGGTGACGCATGCAGGCGGCAGCACTGGGGCCTTCGGCGGAGCTCCTATGGGGCCACGAAACGTGTGAGGGGTGTGCCGAAATGGGTGTGGGTGACGCATGCGGGCGCGGGCACTGGGGCCTTCGGTGGAGCTCCCTATGGAGCCACGAAGCGGGTGAGGGGTGTGCCGAAATGGGTGTGGGTGACGCATGCGGGCGCGGGCACTGGGGCCTTCGGTGGAGCTCCCTATGGAGCCACGACGCGTGTGAGGGGTGTGCCGACATGGGTGTGGGTGACGCATGCGGGCGCGGGCACTGGGGCCTTCGGTGGAGCTCCCTATGGAGCCACGAAGCGTGTGAGGGGTGTGCCGAAATGTGTGTGGGTGACGCATGCGGGCGTGGGCACTGGGGCCTTCGGTGGAGCTCCCTATGGAGCCACGAAACGTGTGATGGGGTGTGCCGAAATGGGTGTGGTGACGCATGCGGGCGCGGGCACTGGGGCCTTCGCGGAGCTCCCTATGGAGCCACGAAAAGGTTGTGAGGGTGGCCGAATTGGGTGTCGTGACGCATATGCTGGCGCGGGCAACTGGGGCCTTCGGCGGGAGCTCCCTATGGGGCCGCGAAGCGTGTGAGGGGTGTGCCGAAATGGGTGTGGGTGACGCATGCGGGCGCGGGCACTGGGGCCTTCGGTGCGTGTGAGGGGTGTGCCGAATTGGGTGTGCGGGACGCATGCGGGCGGCAGCGCTGGGGCCTTCTGTGGGGCTCCCTATGGGGCCACGAAGCGTGTGCGGGGTGTGCCGAATTGGGTGTGCGGGACGCATGCGGGCGGCAGCACTGGGGCCTTCGGTGGGGCTCCCTATGGGGCCACGAAACGTGTGAGGGGTGTGCCGAATTGGGTGTGCGGGACGCATGCGGGCGGCAGCACTGGGGCCTTCGGCGGAGCTCCCTATGGGGCTACGAAACGCTGTACTGGGCGGGTGAAACGCAAGGAAGAGGGGGAGGAGGGAGGAGGAGGGGGAGGAGGAGGAGAGGAGGAGACGCGGGGCACCGTCTCTTCAAAACGAGGACCCAACACCACAGGATGGTTGGGAAAAAGGAGGAGCGAGGGGGGAGGACGAGGGAGAGCGTGGAGTGAGGAGAAACAGGAGGACGGAGGAGGATACAGGAGAAGGAAGAAGAAGAGGAGGTAGGAGCAGAGAAGGAAGAAGCAGGACGGAGGGAGGAGGAAGGGAGCAGCAGCAGCAGCAGCAGATCGAGGAGAAGGAGGAAGCGACGGAAGGAGGAGGAGGAGGAAGGGAAGGAGGAGGAGGAGACCTTAATCCTCCTCCTACATCCTCATCCTCCTCCTTCCTCCTCCCTCCTCCTCCTCCTCCTCCTCCTCTCATCCTCCTCCTCCTCCTCCGTCCTCCTCCTCCTTCCTCCCCTCCTCCCCTCCTCCTTCCTCCTCATCCTCCTCTCCTCCCCTCTCCTCCTCCTCTTTCTCCTCCCAGGGGGGGCGGGGGCCCCGCCGTGCAGGCGGCGGCCGCCCCCCCGCGGGCGCGGCGTCGCCGGGCGCCCTGGCGGGGCGGCGCCGGCCGAACTCGGCCCCGAACCGCGTCTACAGCTCGCCGCGGGGCGCGGGCGTGGCGGCGCAGTGGGCCCACGCCCTGCCCCCGCGGCAGGAGGGCGGAGGTCACGCAGCGCCCGCCTCGAGAGGGAGGGGGGGGAGGCCAGGAGGGGGCAGGAGGAGCGAGAAGATCAGGAGGGAAAAACACACACAGACACACAGACAGACACACAGGGGGGAGGAGGAGCGAGATCAGGAAAAAAAAAAGACAGACACAATTAATCGCCGATCCCCAGGAAAATATGGAAGAATATGGGAAGTGGGGGGAAGACAAACACCTAGAAAATATGTGAAAATATGGGGAATCCTTTTATTTGTGTGTATTTATTTGAGTGTTTCAGGGGCCCTTCACGAGAGGGGTAGGGGCGAGAAGGAGGAGGAGGGGGGCGGGGCAAGCTAGGTGCGCTCGCGTCACTTCTGACGTCCCACCCCTCCCTCCTCCCATCCCTTGCCATCTATAGTCGCACAGTCGGATGTCGAGCAGGGCAGTGGTCGCGAGGGGGTACGCGGTGCATGGTCGAGCACGGCAGCAGAGCACGGCAGAGCGTAGCATGCCACAGCACGGCGTGGGCGCAGCGAGGCATCGCATCACAGAGCATTGCAACGCAAAGCACTGCATCGCACAGCGGCGCAGAACACAAACACCGCACAGCATGTCATGGCATGGCGCCAGGCTCCTCGTGTCGTGTTCGTGTCGTGTGTGCAGGCGAGGCGAAGTTGCGGGGGCGGGCGAGGGGCCTGGACCCTCGTCTGGCCAGGGCGCCGCCGGGCCAAAAGACCGTCCCCCCCCCCCGGTGGGCCGGCGGTGGCCGGGGGAATCCCGCCACGGTCCCGTCGGTGTCCCGCAGCGAGATCGGTAGTCAGTGAGAGCGATACTGAGACCGATAGCGACATCGATAGTGCGGTCGATAGTGAGGTCGATAGTGAGATCGAGATTGAGATCGACAGTGAGGTCGATAGTCAGATCGATAGTCAGGTCGATCGTGAGATCGAGTGTGAAACATATTGATAGTCATATCGATATTCAGGTCGATGGTGATCGATAGTGAGATCGCTAGTCAGATCGATAGCGGGACGGATAGTGCGATCGATTGTGAGATCGATCGTAAGATCGATTGTGAAGTCGATAGGGTGAGATCGATCGAACGAGATAGATAGTGAGAGCGATAGCGATAATAAGGCCGATAGTGAGAGCGATAGCGAGATCGACGATGATATCGATACTGTCATCGATATTGAGATCGATAGTGGGATCAATAGTGAGATCGATTATGATATTGATAGTGAGACCGATTGTGAGACCGATAGTGAGATCGATAATGAGATCGATAGTGAAGATCGATGGAATGAGGCGTTGGTTTCCCCCCCTCTTCCAGACCTCCTTCTGACCCGAAGGGTGGTCGTATAGTTGTCTTGTCGAGTTGTCTTGTCGGATGTATGAGGCGGTCTCTCCGCATGCTTGTCGAGGGCGGTGTTGGAGGGCTTCTTGTGTCCTCTTTGGGGCCTCATGGGCGCCTCTCGGTGGCCTCTTGGGGGCCTCCTGGGAACTCCTCGGAGGCCTCTGGCGGAGCCATCCTGGGGGGAGAGGCCCAAAATGTCAGTTCGTGTGGCCCCCTCTTGGCACGTTGATTTCTACCCCCCCCCCATACCCCCTCCATGAACGAACACCCGACCCCTTCCCAGACATGCGACGTCCTGAGTTTTTCAGTGCGGGGTCCCTGGAAGCCCCGACCCTTTCCCCGAGACCGCCTGTTCGTCCCGAGCCGTTTCCTGGCGGTCCCGAGGCCTGGCGAGGGCCCCCCGAGGCCGAAAATTGGCAGAAGCCTTCCGTCCTGATTCTTGTCACGACGCGACCACGTCTGGGCCCCGACGCCAGGCCCCCCTCCCTCGGAGTGGCGCCCCCGGCCGGGCGCAGGTCCGCGGGGGCCGCCCCCCTGGCAGGACCCGCCGTTCTGGACGGCGGGGGGCGGCAGCTGCAG